GGCTGCCTAAAACCATGTGCTGGAAACTCTTCCCCTTTGAAAGTTTCTAGGTATTTTTTATTGTCCAACATGTGATTTTAATAAGGGCAACTGGAGGGAGTGTTGGTGAGGCTTTTACTACAAATGAATGCACCAGAAATCGGTAACTTAGCAAACATGTTCTGTAAGTATATTTTAAGGAAATCTGAACAAAATGTTTAAATTTGCAGTGAATGGGGTGGAAAGGGGCTTTTTGAGGGAACACGTGCAAATTTTGCCACACTCGACAAAGGTTTTTTTGGCTAATGATGTTAGAGAAAAAAATCCAAAAGTGTAGAAATGTTTCACTTCAACTCCAAAGTGAAATATTAGGCCATGGAAATGCTGAGATAATTCACCTAGATTGAAAATCTGATCCAATTACAACCAATCTTGAAATGAAAACAGAAAATCTTTTGGGGGATGGATCAAAGCAATTTGCCTCAAATCAAAATGCAACCTGTGTGTTATAATTTGCCAGAAGTCACAGCAGTGATTCAGATGTTGGTTGGATTAAGGCAGTTTTGCCTCTCTCACTTCAGTTCAGCCACTTGAGAAATCCATTACTTGCCTCCTCCTTACTGAGTATCTACAGATGGAAATAAATTGTTACTGCTTTTTATTGTTCTGTTCCCATAAGGCTGACACAGCAGAGAGAAGGAACCGGATACTTTTCCTCACTAACATGACACTGGGCAGATTGTTTATAGTATTTCAGCTACAAAAGAAATCAAGGTTGTTAACGGCAGAATTAAGGGGCTGTGGGGCTGCATGAGCTATTTGAGGGCAAAGCTTGTCACACACAAATTTTGTAACTACTGAAGCAGGAGGAGGAAAGGATCTGGCACGGATCTCTCCTGCCCGGCCGCTAGCTGGAGGAAACATCCTTTTACAAAAATGAAAAGCCAATCATGCCTTGTTTGGAGAACACAGAGCCAAATATAGACCCTATCGCATTTCCTTCCCTCCTCCTTCTGAAGCTCTCATCCTTTTGAAGTGCATTTAAATGGGATGTAGATAATTGAGTGTGTGAATGACCAAATGAGCACTCTGTTGGTTTAACCGATTGGTCTCAGTTGCTGATTCCTGTTTTGTTTTGGATGATTTTCAGCCCAATTGTCCTGTCAGCTACAATTAGAGCCATTAATATGACAGCTTAAAGGTCACAAATGACTTTCCCCAGTCACATGCACAATGAGGGCCAGGAGACCGTCACAACACACTGTTCTCAGCTCCCTTGCTGTGTGTTGATAGTTTGCTTGAATTGATGGCAATTGCAAATCATTGCGTAAAACCGATCAAAAGGGCCAGGCGACTTGTTTAGAAAGAGAATGATTGACTGAGAAATGAAGTTGCCATACCAGCTAACATCTGGATGAACTTTTCATGGTTAGGTAAGAAAGCTTCTGATTCTGCATAAAGGGGAAATTTTAAATTGTTAGACTCCCTCTGTCATGCCAAAGCTACACACACACACAAAAGAAATTGGATAGAATAGTATGTGCACTGTGACTTTTTCAACAAATCTATTTGAGGTTATTTTATGTGGCTAGAGTAACAGTTGCCATGAGTTTAGGCTGAATGAGTGTATATATATACGGATAGTCTCTTCCAGCTAAGGTTTATGCTTGTGGGGATGAAATAGGAAAGGGGACAGCACAAAGTTAAGGGAGTGCATTTGGCTTGAGTTTAGTGGAGGCAAAGTCCACTAAGGCTGCCCGCAGACTGTGCTGATCACAGTGGCTAAGATCCTTGGCTGAGAGCATCACCTCTTATTTTAAGCTGTTTGCTCAGGTTGACCCATTCTGGTCATCTCAGAAGATGAGACCTGAAAACACGTGTGCGAGAGAGAGGCTTGGCAAAGTTCCATCTAACCCTGAGCCTGGGTAGAAGATCTTCCTTTTTCACTTCTCAGAAAACTTAAAATTTAGGACTACGTTGAAAGGACTGGGTGGGAATTGCATTTCAGACATTTCCTGCTCTTTTTCCACTGTGAAGCTGAGGCATCAAACTCTTGGGTCTCTCAGACTCTTTACAAGTGAGATTTTTTTGGCCATGGTATCAAATCATCATTGTATCAAAGAAAATGTCTGGTTGTATATTTGGCCTTTTTTAGGAAAACAGAGACAAAAGGTATCCAAACTGCCTGGATCAGTCCATCATCAATTTCTATGGACCCAAAATCTAGCTGGTCAAAGGCAGTGAGGATTCACTCACAAAGGGGAGCTTGTGTCTGGTGAGGTTCTGTAAGGGTCTATTTGTAACTTGGTGTTATCTGATATTTTCCTTAACTGCTTGGATGATGGAAAAGAGAATATACAAATGCAATTTGCAGATGCCACCAGGCTGGGAAGGGCTTGTAAGCAGGCTGGATTGGGCTTCCAGCTGAGGTCACACAGATTGGGGAAGTGGTGTGAAAAGAACAACTAACGGTTTGATCAAGACAAACGTAAAGTTCTGCAGCTTGGCAGAAACAACTGCAAGTGGCAGTGCAGGATGGGGACCTACGCTCCATAAACGACCTGCAACCCTGGGCACACGTAGTAGGTCACCAGCTGACCATGAGTCAGTGACATTGGGGTTTTTGCAGAAGAGACAAATGTCACGCCTGGATGTATAAATAGAACCGTAACCTGCAAGATGTGACAAGTAATCCTTCCACTTTACTCGGCTTTGGAAAGACCGTGAGCAAAGTACTGAATTCGGCCTTGACCACTGCACTTTGAGAACGCTGTAAGTCAAAGGGAGTTGCTCCAGAAGAGAGCAATGAGGATTATCAGAAGTTGAGTTGACCCTGAGGAGAAACTGAAAGAACTTGGGTGAGAAACCCAAGTAAAGGCCTCATTTGAACTGTTTTCAAGTAGCTAAAAGGTATAAGAAGATGCAAACAGTCTGTGGCTCAGGGAAGAAACAGCAGCATGGACTTGAACATGAACGTAAATCTAATGTAGGAAAATGCATGAATAAATGGCCAATGAAAGCTAGAGTCCTTTTCACAGCAGACTTTTAAGAACTGGTTGGACAAAGTTTTGTCAAGAAAGATCTATATATATTTGATGCCCCTGGGAAGTACAGGTTGAAGAAGGTGTTTTCCTGCTTCTTTGGGGAGAGATTAATATTTTCCTCCCACACCAACCTTCTTGTATTTTAATAACGAAGAACTGATGTTTATGTGAGGTGCAGATCCTTTCTGATGAATTGCTCAGATATTTTCATCAAGCAGTTGCTAGAAGTTTTGCAGCCAGCTCAGGGTTTGTTGGACATGACTTCCAGTTAAGTCTGTAGAGTTTTATCTGAAAAAAAAGGAGTTTAGGTCTGGTTTTGCTGGATTATACAATCTAGACAAATTCCCCATTTATTTCTAATGAAGCAGCACAGTATGCAGGCTTCCATGAGGTCCATGGGTCAGTGTGTTACAGTTTATTTCCTTCAAATCTTGTCTGTAGCTGGTTCCTAGTGAAGATAGCCATGCTTTTAAAAGATGAGCAGCAGGAGTCCTTTCTATCAGTACATTTCCATCCGTGTTTGGGCAACACAATGAATACAGATGTAGTAGGAAACTTTTGATTATCTATAGGATTTTTCTGGGACAGCTTCAAAGCTCTCTGTGGTTAGTTATATTCTTGGACTTAAAACGGGTTGTCTTGTCTTCAGAACTCTTGCTTAATTTTCCTGTTTAATCTATTGGCCAAACACCATTAATGTTGTCTTTGAGGCATGGAGCAGCTTTGATGGAGTCTTTTTTTAATTTGCTGCAAACACTGGCCATCACCCTGTGCAGTCATAAACAACATCCTGCCTGCTAATGAGAAAATTCAAGTTACTGTAGTCACGTGTCTTGTGGAAATACACTGTAGTGCCTAGAAGAAAAAAAAGGTCCTACTCTGCTCACCTCCTGTCCCCAGTGAGCACAGGCATTTGGAATAGTGCCCGGGAGGAGAAGTTTCCACAAATTAAGATATTTAAGAAAAAATGAGCATTACCTGGAAAAATGAAATAAGTCATTTTATATATGGATCTCTTCTTTTTTTTTTTTCTCTGTAGTCTACTTTGATGAGTTATCATTCCTATCTATAAGCATTTAAAAACTTTTGCCCTAAATGCCCATCTGGCTAATCAGCTGTTAGGGCGTAACTTTTCCTAACAAATTCAGATTTGTAGATCCTGACCTGCTTGAGTGTGAAGTGGGAAATGAGGATACTTCAATAGATACACAGTAAACCAGTCACATAATGTTGATTCCCTATCATCACTTTCCTCTCTCTCCCATCTCTTATAAACCTTTTTCTGCTTAGAAAACAAACTTATGTGTGTGTATGATCACAGAAGGCTTGGCAAAAGATCGGTATGGGAAGTGTTACGAGTCCAGCACAGCAGAAGGTACTTTGACTTGTCGTATTTTTTCCTGTTTAGGCCTTTTTTCCTTTAGGCACCAGTTTTAACATCTGCGGAAGATCTGTGAGGGAGCTTGTTGGTCGGGAGGCTCAGCCCTGTGTTTCGTCCTGTTTTTGAGATGATACCACAGCCATGGGATAGCCCTGGTGCCATGAAGGCAGCTGCACAGCTCTGCACCACAGTGATGAGAGCACCTTATTCCCTCTCCATTGGGAAACCTGTCCTGTGGGGGTGATCCATGCTGCTGCAAATGGACTTTCTTGGCTCTGGGCTTGTTGATAACCAGTATATCAACACTGTATGTGTTGATAGCAGCTTATACAGTGTTGACACATCTGAGGTCCTGTCCGCATGGCAGAAACGTGCAGTGGAGATACAGTGCGAGCAGGTAGCTCAGGGATACGTTGTCTTTGTGCCTTCCCCTCTTCCTCCCACCAAACAAACTGGCAAACTACCCTTTGAAGCAGCTGGAATTATCCTTCAGATGATCTCTGAAGGTCGGACGGAGGGACTGGGAGCAGGGATGTTGCTCCCTTGCTGCCCGTGCCGCTGCCGGGGGTTTCACTCTCGACCTGGTGTGTTTGCAGAGCACGGCTTTGTTGGCTACTCCGAAGAACTGATGTCGAACAACACACTGCCGGACTACAGCCAGGGGGAGTCCTTCTTCACCGTTTTTGGAGTGTTTTTCCCAGCTGCCACAGGTAAGGTACATTTTATTCTCCCCTCTTTTCCTCCATAGTTGCATCTCAGAGGTGAGCCGAAGCGCTGGGGCAAACTCATGCAGAAGTCAAAATATGCTGCCTTTCCTGGAAAGTCTCAGATTTGGCACACTTTTATCCCATTCACTTAAATATGCTCTCTTTTCTCTCTGGGATCAGAAATTCCTCATCATAGCTGTGGGTGCCGAGCTGCTATTGGCTTGATCATGCAGCACCCCAACAACCCAAGGCCGGCATTAGGACCTGATCTTGGCTGATGTTATTTGCCCGCAAGATATCAAGCCTTTTTAAAACTGCTGGTCGTGATTCATCTCCTGGGCTTTGGGCAGCAGCTCTTCCTGAGCAAACCTCAAGATTTGATTTCATTGAAGGGGTAGGAAGGCTGCCCGGGGACTTTTCACTCAGCGTTGCGGGTGCAGAGCCGGGCTGATCCCTCGTTGCACAAGACGCTCTCCCCACGCTCCGCGTTTTCCTCGGCGCTACAGACGTCCCTTTGTGCGAGGGTGGCAGCGGAGCTCGGCCGCTGGTGCCTCCCCGTGCTGATTGCACCAGCTTTCCTGATGTGACACTTTGCGCGTGACGCAGGCGGGTGGCACGGGCTGCATGTTACCATCGCTTCGCTTCCCTGCTGACGTGTTTGTGAAACACTATCGAGTACTTTAATATTATTCACTCTCTTAAATTGACAGCTAGATCGATGTCACCTTTCTGAAGCTGGCAATCTCTAGCAGGAGTGAAATAACTATCAATTTGGGTTACAGTACCCTTTGTTGATGCTGCCTTTTAGGCTGGAAAATGTACTGATTACAAGCAGTTTCCATAGTGATGAATCCTTGGATTATAGAATGAATTTGCAGAGGATTAGCTCTAAGCAACTAGCCGAAAGTTGTTCGCAGAATTGCTGCAGTACAGGGAGACAAACTGAAAGGCTTCGTGAAATAAAGGAGTGCTCTGCTGGCATAAAAAGTCACTTTGTGCTCATGCAGTGTCAATGGGTACGAAGAGCTGAAGTTGCCCAGTCTTCCTCCTCGTTGCAGTCCCGCTGCAGCACCACGGCCACACAAACTTTATTTTATTTTTTGGAAATGGTCTCTCCTAGCTCATCAGACTGGCTACTCTCTCCCTCTGGAAGATTTGCATGCCCAACCTATGGGCACCACGGAGAAGGTGGCCTCTGCCTCTCTCTTTGCTGTGCCTGGCCAAGTGAGTCCTCCAGCCAAGGGGATCTTCCTCATCAGTCTTGCCCCTGATACTGCAGAACAGCTTTTTCCAGCTCTCCGATTATAGAAAGAGGAATATTTATGACAAAGTGGTGTAGAAAATTAGCAGGAGTGTTATTAAACGATTCTTCATCACTGCTAATGCTTTGCTGCTAGGAAGAAGGCCAAAGCTAATAGATGTAATTTATTTAAAGCCCTGGCAGCCTGTTGCTTTGTTAGTTAGCAGCAGTAGTACCAGTAGCGACAGTAAATATTCTCTGATGATACAGTTTGGGCTTATGAATGATTACTTCAGTTGCTGCATAGTGTTTACATGTATTCTTTTTAATTGCTTGGTTGTTTACTGGATTTACAGTGTCCCCTTGTAATAGCAGTGTCTGTGGCAATACATAACAGCTCTCATTCCTGTTACTGCTGTACATAACGCTGTAGATTTGAGGAGCAAGGAAAAGTATTGTTTTCTAAAGAACTAAAAGAACTCGTGATCTAAATAAGATGTAGATTTGAGGAGCAAGGAAAAGTATGGTTGTGTTAGATTTGCTGCCTAAAAGAACTCGTGATCTAAATAAGGAAAGTTAGGAAGGCAAGTGATGGGAGTGGTAATTTCAGCAGTGCAGGGAATAAAGGATTCATCTAGGGACGGGTGCAGGGCCTGGGTGGAGAGACAGGTTAGCTCTACCACCACGCTGGGCTCCTGCACTGTCCCCACGGCCGTTCTTGGGAAGTTCACCTGTTATCCCATTTGGTGCATGAGTAATGCTGAGCTTGTCCAGATGCTTCCAGGGCTTTGTTCCCATTCCTGCAGCAACGAGGCTGAAGCATTGGGAACAAACCCCTTTGGTGTTAATCAGATACAGCAGAAATCCGGGGAGAGGTTCAATGTAGCAGCATGTTGTTTAGTTCTGAGATCCCTCAGAACTTTGAGCCAGTTTGAAATGTTACTTTGACCCAAAGCAAAATGTTCTGTTTAGCTTTTGTTTAATGTTTTGTTTATTCTTTTTAATTTTTAGCATATTCTAGTTTTGAATCTAAGATGCTGTTTGGCTAATAGGAAATTCAAAACAAAAAGCCTTGAGAAATGATGAAAGATGATGTTTGGGCCTTTCTGAAATGAAGCATTCCCCTTTGAAGTGAAATGATTTTGATGTCTTCAAGATAAAATCTTTATTCTGCATCTGAAATTACCTGAATTCAGCTTATTTAAGTTTGCTCCCTGGAATTTGGTGAAAAGTGTTGTAATTGTCTGTTTCTGCCAGAAATAACATTGAAATGGAAGAGGAACAGGCTGGTAGCTCTGAAAGCTATTCCCACGGAGGCTTCTTTGGGGACCTGACAGGGAGCCCAGCTCTGGGCTGCAGCCTCAGCAACATTTCAGGTGGCAAAGTTCAGAGTAACAGAAAGGTGGTTCATGAATCAGAAGTTGTTACTAGATGGCCCTGAGTGGAAGGGACAAGGGATGCAATGTGTTGTAGGAGCATGTCCTGCCCTCTGTATTTACTTGTGAGCCCAGACACATCCTGTTCCACTGAGCACATCATCCTGGTGTGATGCAGGGCCATTCCTGCCCTGTCCTTCTCCCATAGCAGGGGCAGTGGCTTCCACATCAATCCAGGCCTGGAAATTTGAGAGCCCTGGATAAGAGGCCATTTGCAGTACCAGCTTGGCCATTGCCGTGACCCAATGCCCAAGTGAGACTGACTGCCTCTTGCCAACATCCTCTTTAGGTTGTTTTTTTTTTTTTCCATGTCTTATTGTTTTCTCCATTTCTTTGTATTTTACTGGAACAACTCCAGCAGCATAAGGGAAGTTATCTCAGTTTTACAGTTGAGTAGTGGTAAGCAGGGACCGAGCCTTTTGCTTCCTGGGTAATAGGTGTTGAAACCATTTCAGCTGCATATAGAGTACAGCTTCCAACAAAGTTTGTCATTTAATAATAGAGAAACAGCTAAGTGATCCAAAACATACATACAGAGCTGGTCTGAATGTGAATGCATGGGTATGGAAGTCTCAAATTTGCTGGTGTAGATGAAAAAGATGAAAACAGTTGCTCTAGAAGATGTGGATGTGTCCAGATGGGTGTACCTAAATATCTAGAAATTGCAGGCATTAATCAACAGATATTTTTCTGAATTACTGCAAATATCCTCTTAATGCGCATGTTGTTTTTTTGGTTTTGGGTTTTTTTTTTTTTTTGCCATGAAGTGATAAGCAAGCACTCAGCTTCCCACCTAGCCGGGGCTGTGTTTTTGAAAGGATCCAGGAGCTGCCTGCCCGTGTTCAACTCAGCTCTGCACAGCGACGGTAGCAGCAGCCCCGACCCATCAATGCAACTTGAAAATGAACTTAAACGTTTCTGCTGTGCAGAGAATGGTTTTCTTTCCTATTAAATCCCAAAGGTTTTCTGTGTAATGAAAGATGTGTGTTGTCATGTGATACAAGAAAGTAAGACAGTGTTTGAGGCGGTGTTACTGGAAAATATCATCGTCCTGAAACCCCTTCTGAAACAGACCATATCTGGCCCTTGCAAAATGACAGCAAATAGATTTAGAAGTTTTGGGCTAAGTTATCAAATGATGTAAACTGGCACAACTCCATTCAAGTCTGTGGAGAGGTGCCAGCTTACATCAGTGGAGAATTTGGCCCTTCTTAAAAATTAGCTGTAATTCTTATCTAAGATTTTCCATTCCTCATCTCTTGGGTGAAGGAAAAAACCTTTTGCACTTTGTAGTAAATTTACTGGAAAACGCAGCGGGTGTTTGCGGCGGTCGTATCTGCAGTTATAGACCAGCCAGAGCTGGTCGAGCTGATGATTGTGTCTCACTGACAAGGTAGGTGGTCCCCTCGTGCACGTATCTACCGCCTGGATGATTCCCAGGACAGGATTACGTTGGGAATAGCTGCAACGTACAGGCTGTCTCAGCCATAATTTCCTGGCTGGGTTGACAGTGTTTTCGTGCTTCCTTGTCCAGAAGCTTTGTCATTATCTGCTGCTCCACAAGATAATAGCCAGTGTGGAAAATCCAGCCTGCTATCTTGCTGAAACAGAGAAGTGGATAATTTTCTCTCTGGGCAATCTGCAGATATCGTTGCCTGAGTTCAGAAAGGATTGGCCACTTCCTTAGGGACAGGTCTGTGTCTGGAGGAAGCAATGTCCCACCTTCTTTTCTTAGTAGAATTGTATATGTGTGTGTGTAAGTTTTTTTTTCTTTGGAGGAGTAGCTGGGGTTAATGGTAAAGCTGCTTCTGGCTATTTGCAAGTCACACCAGCTCTTTATTTGGCTGGGAGCCACAGAGTTCATTGTTGGTGGAGTTAGTTGAGGTTTTTTGAAAGGAAGCAGGTTGTTCTTTCATTGAAAAGTGGGGTGGTTAGTGTGCGGCTCACTGAAGAGCTTCTCTGCAGTGATCCAGGCAGCTGTCATCCTGTCTGGAAAAAAGCTTGTAGAGGTTGTGGAGAGGCAGCTTTGGCGTTGTGCATACTTGTGTGCCTTACCTTAAGGCTTAGTTGTGGCACGGAGGAGAAAGCATAGATGTATGTGGCTGAGTTTGCCTGTGTTGACTCTTTGTGTCATGGTCTAGCAGTGAAAGACGTGAGACTGGTTGCCTCCGAGGGGTCCTTGGTGCCTTCTTCATCTGGCTGCTCGAGCATAGATGTATGTGGCTGAGTTTGCCCGTGTTGACTCTTTGTGTCATGGTCTCAGGCTTTAGCAGTGAAAGATGTAAGATTGGTTGCCTCTGAGGGGTCCTTGATGCCCTCTTCGTCTGGCTGCTCACGCTGCGTGTGGGTCTGTGGAGTGAGATAACGGGCTGCTCTGGGCCCTGCAGTTGTCCTTGCTCACATGACTCGTGGCTTCGACTTTTTTTTCTTATTTTTTTTTTTTTACTTTGGTCCAGAAAGCACCATTTTGGTGTTTCCCCAGTGCTTTGCTGAGGTAAGAGCTTGGATGAGGAAAAGGTGAGTCAAGCTCAAGCTGGAGGATTTAGAGAGGATGCCAGAAAAATGAAAAACTTGGGAAACTTGTCCAGGAGGAACATTAGATTAACAGCTGTCCTTCCAACAACAGCTTGCTACCTTTGGAAGAAAGGTTCAGTTCTGTTTTCTGCTTTGTCCCCTGCTTTGCAAATTAACATGTCAACAGGAGCTGCTTTAGAGATGCTTCGTTTAGCTTGGTGTTTGTGGCAATTTCCGTGAACTTCTGCCTGCTAGGAGCTGCAAAATGGAAGGAGTCCTTAGGAATTGAAGAGCAGCTGGAGTTTGGACCCACTGTGCAAATGGCGATGGCTGCTGGGTGGGCCTAAAATGATCAGAACAAAAGCAAACAAGGCCCTCCGTCCCGATCTGATGTGTGCGGCAACCTGTGAGTGACTTGCGTTTATTAAAGCGCTGTCTTCACTGCGACACAGCGAGGAGAGGAAATGTTCTGATTCCCATTGAACCAATGAGGAAACGGGGCTATGAAGACACACAGTGAGTCCGAGAAGGCTGGGTGTTGAGCCCATATTCCAGGATTAGCAACTCGACCATTGGTGGCTGATCTGTAGTTATGCAGAGCCTTTGGAGAAGGCACTCAGCATGCTGGAATCTGTTGGAATAGCGGCACGTTCACTCTATAGTGGGATTTGTTCCATGACTCCCATCTACCCTTTGCCTCAAGAGAAAATTCACCCAAGTGGCGCTCAATTCAAGCTTTAAAGTGCAGTGGCTTGCTGAACTGGAGCTGTTGTCACTTCTCTGCAGCCTCGCTTATTTGCAGACTGACTTCATCATTCCTGTACAGCACTAAAATGAGGAATCGCTGCCGAGCTTGGCCGCGGAATGGCGGAACAGCGTCCAGTCCCTCGCGCTCCGGGCTGGAAGATGCTGCGAGCGCTGTGGAGCTGGCGGGTTCCTCCTCCTTGTTGTCCTCCAGTGATCTCAGCCTGGTTCCCAGTGACTGTCCCGGGAGCGCTGCTGGCTGGCATCTGGCCCACGAGTCCTTATGAAGAAGTTAGCACAACACGGAAGGAATGATTAGTTACAGGCAGAAGTTAATGTCTTAGAGGGATTCTTCTGTCCTATCTTCAGAGTGTTCAGATTCTCTTTGGGGTTCTTAACTGCAGATGTTCTATTTTTTTCTGGATGACATCTAAAGTGCTTTAGGAAAACTTTTAGCATAATTTGACCAGAAGACTGGGGATTTCTTGCCAAGGCTGCCATGACTTCCTCTTCAATTGTGGGTAAAGACTCTTGGCCCTTTTATACATTGTATTCCTAGCCAAAATGGAGAATGTAATCCTTTGCTTCATCCTTTGCTCCGTCTCTTTTTTCTTTTTCCTTTCTTGCCTCTTTAGATAGTAATCTTTTAGGATAAGGAGCGTCCCTGGTCATACAATACCCTGTACTGTGGCCTAAAATAACAGGTGGGTACTTTGTCCTTAGTTCTGCCGTGTGTTTTCTGTGTGGCGTTGGGAAAATCACTTACCCTTTCAGTGCTTCTATTTCCCTCTCTGCAAAGCAGAGATAATGCGGGTTTTGCCGGGCTGTAAGCGATGCCTGAGCACCGATCCGTGCGTGGAGGGTGCCACGTACGTGCAGGGCAGTGTTATTCCATCTGCTACAGGCGCGTGTGATAGTCGTTAAACGCAGACAGCGCGAGTCATTCTCTAATAGCACTTGTCCCTCCTGAATGTGGGTACATATAATAGATTTGGGTCCAACTGGCTGTGCCTGGGCTGGGTAATAAGCCCCGCTGAATGCCCTGCTGTGATGAACGGTAGCATTTTTCTTTCAACAATTGGGCATCACTGTCTTCTGTGATGTTTGCGTTAAGATAAGATGGGTTTTGTTCAGATTTCTGCTTTTTTTCCCCCCACAGCTTTGTTCAAACTGGACAAAGGGCTCTCTGTGGATGTGTTAGTGGGGGGAACAAGTGTTTCTGGTAAAGAAGTGAACAGCTACTTCCCAAGCAATAGATGGGAACCAACGTTCACATTTGTGGCAGTGGAAGGAAATGGTATAGGCACCATTCTGAAATCGATTAAGGGCTTAGCTCTAAATTATATGATATGTTATAAAATATATGTTATGTTTGATAATTTAGATTAACTCCAGATTATATTTACGTCTACAAAACACAGGTGTGATGGCTGGGTTCAATATGAGTGGCGACCTCCAGAAACCTGCTACCAACATCCCCCTGGGTTCTCTGGCAGCTATAGGCACCTCGTAAGTAATAGATTGGGCAGAACGTACTGTTTGGAGCCTGCCTGGGATGTGACCAATCCGTTTCATATTCCCATCAACCTTTTATGACTCAGCCATCTGGAAAATTGAAGTCTGGCTCGTGTTCAAACTATCATCCATTACCACCACCTACTCTGGATGGGCTGGAGATTCATTAATGCAGATATAATCAATTCTTCCTCGTCCTTCCCCCTGCCTTGGCTGGGCAGGAGGCCGTTAGCTCTGCACGGGCTGCACCGCTGCACTTGGGCTGTCTCAGAGCACAGCATGAGGTTCGTGAAGGCCTGGGGTGAGTTGTTTTGTCACCCATCTTACTGGCCCTCTTTTTTGCTATTGATGTCGAAGTGCTTTTGTGCAAAAGGAGGGAAATGTAAGTTTTACTACATGGGAAAATGGGGTAAGAGAGGTAAAATAACCTACCCCCCTGAGAGGCCAGTGGAGCCCAGCAGCGTGCGCCCCAGAGCCCTGTGCTCTCCCCTGGGTGTTAGGTATTTAAAAAAATATACTCCTTAGGTTCCTGCCTCTTTTCATTGCTACCTGAACTACCTTTGAAAATACTACCTTTAATTATGTACCTGGATTCAGACAGAGGGGAAAACCTTTTTCAATTGAGTGGGATTCCTTTGTCTGTATTAAATTTGAGTGATTGCAGAGAACATAAAAGTATCACAGATTAATTGACAGTGGCTGCTCACATCTCTGCTGGCTGGACTTTGCAGGCACACTAGATTTTTTCTCCAGCTGAACACTGGAAAAAAAAACCAGCCATCACAAGAGTGATCGTGATTTACAAAATGTATAGGCTGTAAATGAGGCTCACCGGGGTCTTTTAGCACTGCTGCCAGATCAGGGGCCCTGTGCGCACACAGGATTGAGGTATTCCCTCTACGTGCACAGCAAGAGCATGCTCTGGACTGCAGGTTTTCATGTCAAGCAGTATCACACAGGTCACCGCGGCTGTCCCTGGTGCACTGCAGTGGGTAAGTAAGTGCATGGGTCTTAAATTTAGGCTGCTGTAGAAGCGCAGGCCGTACAGAGGGATCAAAGGCCGAGCTCATAGGTACTTGACCTTCTTTGGGCTCTGCTAGTGGGTAAAATTCTCTGTGTTTTTGCCTTGCTGGAAACAAATTGTTTGTCTTTGTTATTTGCAGATGGTTTCTGTATATGGTCTTTGTCTTTTTGCTGGGAGCTGTTTGTACCCGTCAGTCACTCCGCTATGACTTTATGATAGCAGAGAAGGTAACGTGTTCAAACGACTTAGGGTGGTTTTGTATAATGGTGCTTTCAGGTTTCCAGCTGTGCTATTGAATACTCAAACTTTTCCAAAAGCCCGGGGAATTTGGGTATCTCTTATGGAAATTCAGGGGGATTTTCCCACCGCAAATCCCAGTGTACAATTGATTTGAATAGCTTTCCATTCAGCAGCATATCCAGTAATGCTGAATCTTGGCCTAATCACTCAGCAATAGCTTTAGGAGCTAAAATATGCTAATGTGCTCTGATGACAAATGCTGCATTTTATTCGGTGTATCCCGTTTCATTGGTGAAAGCTTAAACCAAATTGAATCTCTAAAGAACCACACTGCTTATCTTTACTTAGGCAAGGAAGCTTACATTTTCCTATCTTGTATATTGTAATTGCAGTGTGAGAAATAGGATTATTGAACTCTGAACAGTCCACGTTGGTGTATATGTGTATGGAGGAGGTTTGTCTTGATACAGGCAATGAACCTTATAATTGCAGGCCTTTAAAAGCAGAGCAAAGGCTTTTGGTGTGTGCCACTGTCTTACTTTAAATGGAATAGGGAAGGATAACTTTCAATTTTTTCAGCATTATCCAAAATTCTATACCCACAATTTTTGTCACTGTTTATGTGGTTAAATTAATTTGAAATTTCTTTCACTTACCTCATTTCTAAGATGATTTTAATATAATATATCAATTTGTAACTAAAGCTTCATTTGCTCTCTAAATAATATAACCCTAGACTTTCTCTAGTCCCCAACATAAACTCTGAAATATTCATGGGGAGAAATTATCTCTATTGCAGGGAGAAAAGAACGAGTCTACCTTCTTTAAGGCAATGTTTTTGTTATGTAAATGTGACAGGCTTAGTGGGTGAACAGTACTGAAAATAAAAGTTACCTTTAAATGAATTGGCTGAAGAGGAAGAGATTTTTTAAACTATATTTTACCTTCAAAACCCTCTGAGGGGAAAAAAATGAAAATCTTCCCAGAAAAAGAGCCTGAAGATATTTAATAGTGTTAAATATCAAAAAACAAGAAAGGTAAACTCAGTTTTCTCTTTCTTTTTCCCTGCACAGTGCAGAAGAATGGTGCAATCAATGTATTCATGCTGCTGCTGTGACTTCCCCTAAGCTGTTTTATATTTTAATGACTTTAGAACGAGAGAGAGAGAAGTTCATTAGAAATGGAGCATGCAAACTCTCCATTTCTGTCAGTCACAGGTGAATGAGTGTTTGGCTCATTTTCTGCCTCGCAAAACCTGCTTTCTTTCTTTCAGCATACCAAATAAGACACAGTAGTTTCACTTCGAATGACCTAGAAGTGCCAGTTTCTAACTAAGTATTCATGCTCTCTCTGCTTAAAACCAACAACAAAACCTTTCATCAGCCTCCATGGAAAGGAATCATCCCCTCCAGTCCTGATTGGAATGTCAAGTGCTACACTGAAATCCAAGTGGTTTTGGCAACTAAAATAACGTACAAAGCCTGGCACAGATGATTTGTTGGTCGAGTGTTTTGCAGACAGGGCTCGTGTTTTAGGAGAGGGACAGGCTGTGGTGCTGTCCTCCACTGCCAGCTGTTCCTGCCAGCAAGTCACCCTGCTGCAGCTTAGGTGGGATGCATCCGGACCACAATTCCTTATTTTTTTCCCCACCTTGCCTTCATTTCTCCTGTTACCTGTGCCTTGCGTTTCTTTACGGCTCACTTCCAGCCTTGGGACAGCAGCTGTTTGTTTGCAGGTCCTGGGTGGGCGAAGTGCCTTGTTAGCACCAGGGCGTTAGAGATTTCCAAGCTTCACGTTCACTTAAGGAAATTCCTTAGTCGCTGAACACAGGAAAATAAGGTCATTGTATTATATCCTTTGGAGCATGTTTTTTGAGATGTCATTTGTTGAAGTGGTAAGTTGGAGTTGGTTTTACTGTGGCTTTTCTTTCACGATTGACTTTTCCCCCTGGGACACAGGGGCTTGTCTTCCTGTTTTGGATAGCTCAATCCCTGCGTAGCTTTTCCTGTACGATGCTCTCTGTATATAAGTGCTCTCTCCTGAAATAAACTCACTTCCAGTTACTTAAGGGGAATCTAATAGCTGCTGCTTCGCTGCATTTGCGCCAAGTGACAAAGAATTTCTTGGATATGAGCTTGTCAAATGGCTCTGTCAGTACAGGATGTTCAGTGTTAAATTACTTTTATGGGATAATTTTCCAGTATTAATTGCTTGCACTTTCTGCCACAGGCCAGTTAAATTGCTGCTTTTCCATGGCTCACTGTGTTCCTTTTGTAATGTCATAAATATATGAATCTCTTTTTGAAAAAGAAAAGCATTTACAACTGCGCAGGGTTTCTTAAAGAATACTGGAGTCAGCTTCAGGTTCTCTGTGCTTTTTGCAGGTGTCCTTGGTGGGTTTCTTGTTTTTGCTGGGGTTGTATATCTCCTCCTTAGCCTCCTGCATGGGAGGGCTCTACGGAGCGCCCAGGATCCTGCAGTGCATCGCCCAGGAGAACGTCATTCCTGTGTTCGCCTTCCTCGGACGCGGGGTTAGTAATCCTGGCCGGGAGTTAGTGTCAAACCGTAGCTGGGGGGAAAATGGATGATTCAAGCAGCTGGTACCGCTCTGCATCTAATGTGTGGGATGGTGGATATGTGAGCACAAGGAGTGACCGCCAGCTCCTTCCGTTCTTATCTCTCCCCTGCCCTCCCATTCAGGGTAAAAGGTTTCAGCTTTTGTCCAAACACTTCAGTGAAATGGGTTGTAGCTGCATCTTTCTTTTCTTTTCTTTTTTTTTTTTCCTTCCTTCCTGAACTTTTCCTTTGGGATATCGCAATCTTCTTTTGTATCCTCATAGCTGAGTATATGGCTAGTCCCAGTGCAGAGGATTGAGTCTGCATACATTGGAGAAGAGGGTGCTGCTTGGTAACATGAGGTGAGATGCTATAAAAATGATGGAAGAAGAATAGATTTGAAAGGTGAATTTGCAAGGCTGCTAAGCTTTAGATATTCTTTGAAACAAAGCCTTGCTTTGAATATGACAAAAGGCTTTTTCCTTGTCCTAATAAGTAATCCTCATTCACAGGAGTTGTTCCAATGAGATCAGTCAAAATACCAGTCAGTAAGGACCTAGACCTGGGCCATCCCTTCAAAGCAATCTTTTACAGCTTTTGTTTTTCTGAGTAGAGAGAAAAGAATTCTTTCCCTCTAAATGACCTACAGCACCTAACCGTCTGTACCAAGCAGCTGGGAAAAAACTTAAGATGTTTTGCTCCTTCAGAGCAGCTTATAAATAGCCCAAAATATTTACAATACTGGTATTTGTGTGTGTTTTAACGTATTTAAATATTTTATAAGTATACCCATTGTCTAAACTTTATTTTACATTTCTCAAAGTGTTTTTCTAAAATTAATAATAATAGTAGAAGCAGGAACAGTAACAGCCCCCTCCTTCCCCCAGCTACTGAGAATATTTATCAGGATGTCCCCGAATGGCCTGTTCTCTGCTTGGCAATCTTTGGCAACCTCTCAGTGCCTTATCCAGGACACTGCAAAGCTGATTCCTCCTCTTCTCTGCTAGATTTCTGTCTTTCGGTAGAAGAAAGACAGAAACTCTCAAGTCCGTTGTGCTGGCAGGGCGCCACGATGGGAAGTGCTCGCAAAAGAGGTGAGGAATTAAAGGCAGAGCACCTTCCTCTTTGCTTCTCTCTGCCACGCTGAATATTGACTTGATTTGATTCAGGGTGAGTTAATAAATTTAGTTTGTCCCTAACAATCTGTTCCACATCAGTTCTTCTTTTCAGCATTTTAAAGTGCTCTAGTCAACACAGGCCTAGCTAATATGAAGGGCACTGTTGTTTTCTGCAGCGTTAAAACTAAGCCAGAGGCATCCTGAGATTGTACCATCTGTTCCCTATCTCACTAAGTCTTTCTAATACCTAAGATCCTTTCTGAGAACCCTGTTCATTTATCCTGGAGACATATTTCTCATTTCATCGTGAAAATGCCGAAGGTCCAAACGGGGTCCCTTTTACTATTAATAAATAAATGTGGTGGAAATAGAAATAGTTTCCATTTGAGCTGTGTGTTTATTAAAAAAAAAAAGCATATGCAGTAAATGAAAATACAGAATGGAAAATGTTCCCTGTCTTGTGCTATGGTTGGTGTAATTGGGCTGCGACAGAGACCCTTCCCAGCCTCGTGTCTGCAACGACTTTATACGGTCGGTGTCGTCTGTGGACACCAGGCTGTTGGCAAAACTCTTAATTGTGCCAGCACATTTTAAAACATTTCCTGTTTAGTCTTTCCAGGATCAAAGCTTGTGCGAAAGGGGCATTGCTGTGGTTTCAATTTTTGTTACTAAAAAGTCCTGGGAGATGAGGATTTATAAAGAGCCCCTGTAAAACTCGGAGGAATTTCAGCACCTGCCTGCGGTCCTGGAAAATCTCTCTCCTTGAATTGCTGAAAGTCCAAGAATTTTATAAAAGTAACTTGTTTTTCTGGCGTTAGCACCTTTCTCTCATTTGCTCATTCCTGTGTCTCCAGCAGCTGGGTCAGGGTAACTCTCAGCAGCCAACATCAGGTTCAGCTGAGTCTTAAACCTTGCTTCAGGTCCTTCCTTCCTTGTGGGAAAAAGCCTGGCTTTAGCTGTCCCAAACAGTGTATTTTCTATTGCTTCCCCTAAGTACGTTGCACTTCCTAAAGGATTTAAGCTGTGCTCCTGCAACTCTTGCTTGGTTCTCTTTTGCAGATGGTAACTGGGAGCTGGGATGATGCTGACAAAATGTTTCCCTCCTCCTAAGTTTGTTGCCCCATTCCCCCTCCTCTTAGCACTTTAAGACATTCCTCTCCCTCTTTGATGCTTGCCTTCCTGAGACCTACATGTCTCTCCCCTTATTGCTGTCAGGGTGATGTTTGGGCATTAGCCTACCCGATCTGATGGAAGGAGAGGGTTAGTTTCTTCACAGGGGTAAAAGACCCTGTTCCTCTGTGGCTCAGGAGACCTGCGCTATGCTGATGTGTGTGTCTGGTCGTAGGACTCCAGTGGTCGACAGTCCATCTGGACGATGGGCTGGTTGTAGGGCTTCAGTGGCTGAAGATCAGGAGAGCCAGGCAGTGAGGTGGCACTTGGGAAGCTGCTACCCAGTCTGGGCTTCAGTCAGGCAGTGACAGGGGAAGACGGGCTGCCAGGTTAGTGTGGACAGAGGAGCGGATTTGGAGGGGAGAAGTAGCTCATGTGTCATGGAGAAGTAGATGGAGGGTATCTGAGTGGCCACGGATGGAAGAAGCTTGGCCACCACTGGCATAGAGAGAAAAGAGAGAAGAAGGGAACCAAGCATCGAGTACTGTGTATTTCTCAGAGCAAGATCTGTGAAGGCAATGGCCCTCTGGGGAGGGAGAAAGAGGACAAGGCAATGCTAGAGAAGAAGGGAAGAGCAAGAGCGAAGAGCGTGATTGACTGTGTTGGAAAGGGAACTGCCCTGTTGTCAGCCAACTGGGTTGGTGAGGGAACTGCCCGAGAATTTTAAGAGATTTGTTCAAAAACAGTTCTCCACCGAGTGTCAGGATAGTTCCAACTGATATCATGGCACTGCTCTTTAAGGATTGTCTGCTTGGGTTGTTTTGTCTGCTGATTCTGAAGCCTGCCCCGTGCTGCAAGGATTTGCCCTCATTTCCTTAGCACTTTTGGTGGAGATGTTTGTTTCTAACCCAGTGTGGTTGCATGATGTTGACTCAATAGTCTGGACAAGGACCTGTTCCTAGTCAGCACCACAGGCCAACCCCAATACCAGACAGGGCTGACGGCACTTAGTACTACAGACACGTTTGAAAGAAGACAAGGATTTAGGATGCTTCATATTTTGCTTGTTAGAAATTTTCCAGGGAGGCCTTTGGTGGCCCACACAGGCGTTTCAGATACAGAAACAGTGAGAGAGTGACTGGTCGAAGGAAGGGCATTACAGGTCCTGAGCAGGTAGTTTAGTCTTTCCACCCCATGTCCTGCCAGCCTGCCACATTTTGCTCTGTCTCTCTCTCTCTCATCCTCTCCCTGCCTTACCCCACTCCCAAAGGAGAAGAATAAAATGTGTATCCCCTGGTTGTCTGCCTTCCTGACTGCAGCCCGGCACCTCCTGCGCTCTTCCTGGCCCTTCAGCATCCTTGGCTACTTAACCTTCCTGCTGCTCTCCTCCGGGTGTTGGGCAGATGCAGCTTTGGTGGAAGAAAGGCGAGAAATGCCAAACAGAGTCCCAGAAGACCATGGATTTAGCTCAGCCTCATGTCAGGGCATGGTCCTAAGCATCTCTTGCAAAAATGGCCCTCCTCTATGCAGGCAGGTCTTTCTTCACTTAGCTGGTAGTGAAACCTCTCCAATGGCATCATACAGAGGTAGGCAGCAATGTGACAACCCGTAGGGAGATTAGAAATGAACAGTTAACTCTAATTACCGTATTTTATTGCCAGCCCTCCCTTAAGCCCCACAAATCACTGTGAAGGGTTATTGCTGCTTTAATGACATTGTTTAACCACGGAGATGTGGAATGAGGTGTAATGAATTTTCCGAGGGCAAACAGGGAGCTATTGGCAGAGGGGAGGAGGGAGCTCAACAGCCCCATGTTTCATTTCCTAGGCCAGCGAGTCTCCCGTGATGTGTGTTTGTTTTTCATGGCTAAGCGGGTGCCGATGGACCTGTCACAGCAAAGGGAGAGGGGTACCCACACACCATGGAGGATAGGTGTGTGAATATTAATTTCAATATAAGTTTATTCTATTTGTGAACTAGAGAGGACCGAACAAGACTCCAGTGGCTGCAATTTGCTTAACCAGTCTCATCACCATGGCTTTTGTCTTCATTGGGCAAGTGAACGTCCTTGCTCCCATAGTCACCATCATCTTCATGCTGACATATATTGCTGTAGACTATTCCTATTTCTCAGTCTCCTTGACTTACAACATTCTGCAGAAGCCTGAGAAGATGCAGATGGAAAATTTGAGGCCTGCTCACTCTTCCCAGCCTTTAATTTTGAACAAGCCTTCCGCCTACGGATCAGATGGGATAATCCACAGCAGATCAAATGGCACCTTGCTGGAGTTCACCAGAGACATGGACCAGCTTTTCAAACCGTTTCATAATGAGCCTGTCACTTGTGAAAAAAAAGAGGCAGCCGAGAATTTAACCCAGAAAGTCAAGCAGAGAAAGCTAAAGAAGCCGGCCAAGCAAACGTTACAGGACAGCTTTCTCTTGGACCTGGAGCCCGGTGCTGGCCCAGCTCATTACAGCCGCGAGGAACCGGTGCCGCTCGGTGCAGAGGGCCCCGCAGAGCAGATCCCCCCACGCGAAGGGGCCCTGTTTGGGTCGGAACGGGACCCGCCGCGGTCGGAGCGAGGCGAAGGGGGCGAGCGGCTCCCTGAGGAGACACAGGTTCTCCCCGGGCAGAGGGCGGAAGGTAAAGGCTACGCGGTGGACACCTCTGTTGTCGTCACCTCTGTCCTCCCGGGGCTTTTCCAGAGGCAGGCGGGAAACTCGCTTTATCCAGGGCTGTCGTTCAGTGATTCATAGCAATAATATCTTTTATTACAGGTAAGGTGGGAGTTCACCGTAATGAATCGCAGGAGAAGTTCCAGTGTAATTTGCCGATGGGAGATTAATTATAGAGAAGCCAGGAGGACTATATTTAGTCTAGAGTTTCACTGTATGCTCATTATTCTACCAGTGCATTCTTAATGCTGTACATTAAAAAGATTTGGGGTGTACCTAGGGCTTTATTTCATCTGGATGCAGGATAAGAGGGATGGAGCCGTGTGAGTTTAAAACTCTAGCTATCAAAATGAAATGATCCCCATGCTGCAAACACAGTCTGTTATTCATCATCCACCATCCATTATTCACACCAAGAGTGTGAATTTATATTTTAGGCAATATGTGTATTTAATGCTGCATGTTATATGGAGTTTGCAGTATGGGATCTTTACTGTTTAATCAATGTTAGGCAGCTCAAAACCCTTCTGAGGAAGAAAAGCTTTATTTCTCTGCTTCTACGAATACAGGAACTGAGGCCCAGGTAGGCAGTGACTTACATGTGATCTTAGAATGGACCAGAGCTGGAAATAACTTTTCCCTGGCACTTCCTTGTTGCCTTCCTGTTAGAAGTTTTGGTTAAACTTTGGGATACCCAGTTGTCAGTTGGAATTTGTTTTGCTTTCTGTAACTGGGTAATTTTAGAAAGGGAGGAAAAAAAAAAACACACTTATGCTCTCTCTCGCTCTCACTTTTTTTTTTTTTTTAATAGATTCAGCTGTAAAGCAACAAAATCCAGAATTGGGAATTCAGCAAATACCAGTATCCTTCTACTCCAAGTTCTGCAATCACTGGGTTTCCTTTGCTGGTGTAAGTACTTTTATTTTGAGCACTTCTTTGTGACTGTAGAAAATGGAAGGAAATTCAGCACTTAGTTCAGTGTAAATACGCTCTAGTGCTTAAAAATAGCTTTTGTTTCTAGTATGCCAGTTAACCTGAACTAAGTATTCAAGGTAGTATGTCAGTTCCAAAAAACTCCTGAACTGTTGATCAAACAGCCAAGTGCAAAATTCCACATTTTCAAGAAGGAAAATTCCTCCAGCACATTATTCTTAAAAATAAAAAGCTTTCAAACAGCATCTGCCTGAAGCTGTTGAGGAGTTTAAGACATTTAAATTCATCTTGAGAGGATGGATTAATGGGCAGATGACAGAAAAGGGGTCAGTTATGCATAATGAATGAACCATATGACTTTGCTGCACAGCTGAGGATTTCATAGCAGTGTATAAAATATAATAAACACCCTGAACAACATAGTGAACCCTATTAATTTAATCCTCAGATTGAGTTTGACACCTACTTTTCAAATCATGCTGTGCAAGCTGCACAGCAACCAGCTCCTGGCGAAATGTGCTGCTGTTTTGCAGGGTGGTGGGTGGGATGAATCTTGGGTGCCAATGCTGGTCTTTGGGCTCAGTGACTGACGTGACTCCCCGATGTCATCACAGAGTTCAGAGTGGTCAGCTCTGTAGGGCCACAGAGGAGTTTCTGTAAAGAGGTGATTGACGTGTTCATTAAAGGAGATTTAGTTTCCTGTCAATATGCAGACCTGGGAGGAGAGTGCCACGGAGTTGAGAAGGGAGCAGCAATCAAAAAAACCTCTTAGATGCAGAATTCAAATGCATTTATTCATCCTGGCTCCTTTCCACTCTGCCCTCACTCTTAAGCTTCATCAGTTGTGGCAGTTTTGACTCATTTGGCTCTTTCTTTCCATACTGTCCGTTTGCAAATGGGTAGCTTGCTATGCTGCTAATGGGAAGCTGTTCCTAATTTGATTCCATGAAGATAATACTTGTGCCACCATACATATTCCCCCTTGAATGTCAATTTTAATCATGGTTGCGAGTCACAGCTACCTTGGGAGCTGGTGAGCCTCTGGATGTGTCTTCATTCTCCCAAGCAAAGGCCAGCAAGACTTCTGCAGCTTGGATGAATTTGAAACACAAGGTTCAGCATTTCTAACAAAAAAAAAAAAAAAAAAAACAGTTACTGACACTGTCATAATGGGAACAGTCCCAGTGCTGCCCTACGTATTAAGTAGGTGCTGTGTGAACCTGTGTTCACCTTGCAAAGTTCAAGCATAAGTTGCTGAACTTCCTCGAGGCTGTGTCTGAACATGAGTGTTCTTTCAGAGTCCATTGAACTGCCAGCTGTCCCACAGGAGCAGAGCAAAAGCAGAACGTAGCCTCCGGATTTTGCAGGAAAAAAGAGATTGTTAGTGCAGCAATTTGCTATCTCACATACTCTAGAGTAACCCTAAAACTTGTGTTTTCAACAGGCAATTGTGTCTCTCTTAATAATGTTTGTGATTCAGTGGATCTACACTCTTATTAGCCTGGGTGCAGCAGTTATCCTGTATTTTTACATTGGCCGGGTGAGTCCAGGACTTCCCCTTGGTGAGTATTTTTTTTTCCTCCTGCACTATTAAATCTGCTTAAAAATTCATTAAGCTTTAATTTAAGTTAATTAGGAATTGAGATTCTTGTGTTTAATATGCATGTGACACAGAAAATGATAGGCTTTGTTTCCTTGCTAGTTGTAGTACATTTTTATATCTGACTCTCTAATTTTATTCTTGATTCTTACTGTAACTAGCATTAGTTAAATGGGTTTAACAGTGTTTATTATTTTATTGTTTTCTACTATAAAATGCAAAAAGAGGTACCGATAATAAGAATTAATAAGGATGACAGATTGTAAATGTATCACGGCAATGAGAAAAATCTCTTGTAAATACATTTTAATAAACTTAATTAATCAATCTAAACCCACCTGAGAAAACTTTAATGAAAATGGGAATTATGATGAGTATCTCATTAAATCTAAGCATTCATAATTTCAAAACAAGAGAGCCTTTTGATTCCAGAAATAAACAGGTCAAATGTGTTAGGAACGTAATCTGGGAAAATACTCTTAGACAAAGGACTTAGAAAGGTCTATGCATGTGATCGGCTTAAATAAGTTCAAAATTAAATAGCAAAGCACATTCAGAGAGCAGCTCATTAAAGGCTGCAGCTCCTTGGCAGAGGTGCAGAAGTGGTTTGGGCTGGTGGATGGCTGTGGAGGGAGAGGGCAATGCGCACACAGTGTGTGTGTGCACACATGTACATATGCATACATAAATGCATAGCGACCTACCTGCATAGGTGCAATTTTATGTCCCGCAACCAAGAAAGCCTGGATGAGAAAAGTCAAAGACACTTGAGTTCATATATCATTTGAACAAGTTAGAAAAAGCCTCCTGTGTTTATTTAGGTGAAGGACTGTTAGATGCAAGTTTGTAAGACACTAAATTTCAGAAACACAAACTGTAAGAGACTGAGAAACAGTTGTATTTCAGGAACCACCAGTATATTTACTCACCATGCTTTCTGTCAACTGCAGCTGATTTCTATTTGTCTGTATGTGATAGTGATATAGAGCTGAGATTGTGGATGGTGCTCTCTGTTTCTTTCTACTTGCCATTTTGTATCTGTGGAAGTATTAGGGTTTTTTCTCTTGTCTTTTCTTGCACATGCATTTCCACATGCTCAGGAAAGCAACACGGGGCAAACAAAATGTAAGAAAGGAAAACGGTCAAAGCTTGCCCTGATTTTCCTTGGGTTGTGAGTGAAAGACATTTTGTGGCCACGCTGGATCAAACAAGCTACGAATTTGTTCTCCAAAAGACGAAATGACCCTTCTGTTTAGAAAGGTTGAGAGATGCTGACTTGAGAGGCTTTTAGATGGACAATGAGCTAAAGACCTTAGGAGCACTGGCTCCACTGCAGGACTTCGACAAGTCCCTTCACCTCTCTTTTTCTCCCAACAGCTTAAGCCAAATTACGCAGGCGCTGCCGTGTCTCCATCTCCTTCCACATGCTTCTGCTGCTACCCTTGCTGTTCCCTGGGGCACCTTTCTGGGCCTGCAGCTGACTTCTGTCTTTCCTCTGCAGGAGCAGCAGCCAACTTCAGTCTCTTCAGCTGGATCAAGCTGCTGTTGGTCACCTCGTGCAGGTCGGTACCAGCCACTTGGCATTGATCAAGGCAGTGTTCGTTGTTCCTGTGACCCACTAAGGTCACACAAAGCTTGGAGGGAGCTGGCTTGTTTGCCACCTTAAGCAATCCATCTGCCACGTCTTGGGTACTCAGAGTTATTCTTATTTAAAGACAGAAATAACATTTACTCCTGTTAGCTGTCTGCATGGCAAATCATGGCAGAGAGAGGGAGCAGGAGCCTCTCCAGCCTTGTTCCTTGGCACTTTGGCTAACCATGTCTGGAGGCCAAAGCTTTATCTTCCTGTCCAAGGCTTGCAAACCTGGTGGTAAATGAGGAATGGAAGACTCCATCTCCTCCGTATATCATCATTCGAAAGCAAATTATTGTGGGAGTGGTGGAAGAGGTGTGTGTGCACCAGCTGTGCTCTAGGTTTGATAGACAATTTGGGGGGAGGCAGCAATATCTGTACAGACAAATTCAATAAACAAAGTGTTCAGTGGAAAAGTCATTCAGTACTGAGCTTGTACGGGTTTGTATTAGCAAATGTCTTGGACTTTTCTTTCCCAGAATACCTTAAATAGGGTGACTGTTAGGATATTAATCGGCTTTGTTAATTCATTTTGCTCCTCTTAATAATTAATTCCATCCCCATGTCTGGGTTTCCCAGAAGGGATAGGGGCCATCTCTGCCCCTGTACAATACAGTGAGATCTGAGGTCCCCCCCGGTTGGTGGTTTTTCCACTTAAGCTGGGAGCATTATCCTAATGCCAGCGTTGCTGCTGCCATTGGCACAAAGACAATTTTAGTTCAGATTTAGCTTTTGGGGATTGCATGGTTTGTTTTTGAAGCTCACCGCTGCTGTGCTGCAAGAGTGGGAGAAACCTACAGAAGGAGATTTATCACTAGCAATGGCTCGTGCTCCTCTCCCCACAAGGCGTGTAAATCATTTGGCATAGCCAGCCTTTTATTTGCTCTCACCATGAAGTGCAACTACGCTGGAACAATTCCAAACAATAGAACAATTCCAAGGAGGGAGCGTATTCATTATGAAAATGTGTATTTGCTAGACAGTGAGGAGGGGTCTAGTTTTTCTGCATCTGCTAGCAAAAAAAAAAAAAAAAAAAAGATTAATTATGTGTCTTCTAAGGGCACTGAAGACAATTTTGCCTATTTTTGTCGTGGCCCTGGCCGGGCTCCGTTTGCCGGGCCCAAATCGTGGCTGCAAACCCTGTGTGATGGGAGCTCGTGCTGTGCTTGCAGGCGAAGGCCGTCGCCCGAGGAGCACTTCGTGGTGACCCCGTCCTTTGCGACAGTCGGCGTGGAGACCACGCAGCTCACCGAGGAGAACGCCGACTTCGCCGCCCGCGGCCGCTACCACCGCTCCTCCGTTATCAGCAGAGCGGACTTCGGGAATCAGTTTTAGTGAAGGAGGAGAGGGAAAGAAGAGAGGGGGGAAAAAAAAAGAGGAAAGTCAAGCTATCCCTTAAAGCATTTCTAAATGCTAGTCACTGCCACGGGGACTTGGAAAATACTTGAATACGCGGAAAGGGCGTGAATGGTTATTTACCGTCCCGAGGCTTGTTTGGGGATTTCTGTTTAGCTAGTTAGTTTATGCAGACTGCAGCATTTCCAGGTTTCAAACCTTACCCTGAAGAGAAAGAGAGAAAATAATAAAAAAAAAAAAGAAAAGCAAGAGAAAGGTCCAGTCCAGTGCAGGGATGAGTTATTGAGGACACTCTAATCCTTTTACAGAATTCAATTACCAGTGCTATTGAGCTCTAAATTCCTTTGCTGCTATAAAAGCTTATGGCACCCAATTCCAAATGTCCTCTGGGTGGACACGGTGGCAGCGTGTTCTGCGTCTCAGAGCAGCGGCCTCGAGCCCTGGCAGTCCTGGGCCCATCTGCGCGGCCGGCGGACGCAACCTGCTGGGCAAGTCACTTCTCCCCGTGCAGCGTGAGTTTGCCTGTTGCAATGCAGTGATTTTCTACCTCAGCCTTTCAATTACCAAGGTCTTAGCAAGTACTTTAAGGCATTAAGCAAAAGGCTGCAGTCAGTGCCAGAGAGTTATGAAGTGCAGCCGCAGCTGGAACTGAAGGCGCCCGTTTCCGTGCGGTGATGCAGATATGGACCTCCTCAGTACTGTGAAGCTGTAAAGTGATATCGTAGGAGCTTTTCAGAGCCATTTCCCACATCCCTTCCAATATGGGAGCTGGAAACGTAGCTGTTTCCGAATAAAGCATCTCAGCTGAAAGGATGGATGATTCAACAGAGAACGCTGAGCCTCATCTTGGCTGCTTGTGCTTGAGCCCACGCTGTGCTGAGCTCCCATGGGAGCTGCTTCCCTAGGGCGCTGCTGCGTTTCTCACCTCCAACCAAGGAGTGGGGGCGAGGCCCAGGTGAACTGTCCCCATCGGGGTCACTTTGGCTCCCTCAGGGAAAATCACTCCTGTCCGTGTTGTCCAGCTGGATGGCAGTGAAGGGGCAGCTCCAGGGCACACAGCAAGCTGGTGTTGAGCCCCAGCAAATCTGTTCTGACGCTTTTTACATACATATATACACACACATATATACAAATACATATGTATAGTTATAAAAAGGAAGGGGGAATCGTTGCCTTTCATTTCCTTCAATGCCTGATCATTTTGGACTATTCCTTGATCTGTGAAATAAAAGCTTGAGAAAGCAGAAGCCCCTCTGCACACTTGCTGTAGCTTAGCTCTTTGAATTTGGTGGCCGTCCAGCTCCATGCCCTAGGTTGTTACTGACTGCAATGGGTCACGTCTCCAGTCTGGCCTACTTGAGGTTTGGTTCTCCTAATTCTCCTAGAGAGGGAGGTAAAGGGTCTTTGCTGCTCATATGAAGACCGAAGCAGACCAGGTGCACCACAGAAGGCACATTCATTTTTCTGGGCTTCAGAATTTTTACTTACAAATATTTTTGACCTTGACCTGAGCATCAATCCTGATAGACGCAACAGGGGAGTTGCCGTGTTTATGTGGCTAACTTCTGAGTCAATTCGAATTGTTCTGTGTTAGAAATGCTGCTTTTGGGAGTGTTTCCTTTTGTATGTCTGCTTGGCTCCAAGGAGCTTGGATCTGTTGTCTGGATGTGGCTCTGCTCTGAAACTTCCCCAGGGCTCCCGGGGACTCTGACCCACTGGAGACACGTGCGCGTGGGTGGAGGTTCCTTGCTGCGCTCCTGACATCGGCACGGATCCTGCTCTGCTGAATCAAGGAATAGGCAAATAAGAAAGGCAAGGGCTGACTTGGGAAGGTCTGTGCCGGTGCATGATGAATAAAATTATGAGTACATGTAGGTTCTTCTGTGAAGACTGATGGAGGAATTTTACCGGTACTTGGTGGTTATCTATTCAAAGCACGGCAAGATTGCCTGATGAGGGTCAATTTTTATTATCAGCTATTAAGATCAAATTAACTCATCTGTGACCTTTGCAGTTAATGCAGCTGGGCAAGCTGCCAACTTTCCACGGTGCTGATGTGACTCGCTGACAAGCTGCAGCATGATGTATTGGTGTCTTTTGCAGTTTGATGCACAACCGTAATGATGCTCCTGCAAAATTTTGTATTGCTTAGAGCACTTTTGCATCTAAATATTGCACAGTGCATTCCCTCCTGAGGTATGGACTTGCCCAGACCCTCATTTCTCTATAACAAAGAGCTTAAACCAAAGAAAACCCCAGAGCTTAGCAGTGATTAATGATAGACATTCCTGGGCTAAATTTTTCTTTGCTGGGTCCTAAACAACTCACTTCCCTTCTTGAAACAGGCAGCGATCCCTCCTGAGGGGAGGAGGGGGTGACCACCAGCATCTCACCGGGAAGCTGAGCTCGTTAAAGCTGGTGGCCCATTGGTGGGCCCGACACCACCATTCCTTCTCTTCTCCACCCAAACTGGAACATGATGGGCCAGGTATAATAACAAGTTTCCTCTTTTGCTAGTAGTATTTTGGCTAGTGGGAGCTTGAAGGGGACCTGCTCCTTTTGGTCAAGTAAGTCTACCTCTGCTGTCCCCATCCCGTGCCCCTATAGCAACCCTGGAAAGGTGATGGAACAACTCATCCTGGATGTCATCCCTAAGCACGTGGAAGGCAAGAAAGTGACCAGGAGTGAACAGCGTGGCCGCTGCTCCTGCCTGCTGCTCTGTGCGTGCAGAGCAGGTCACACCTGGGGTTTCTCATCTTTGGGCTCAACCTGCTGATCTTGGAGAAACTTTCCCCAAGGCTTCCGCCTCTTTCACTGGAATAACCAGCACAGCAGATACTAGATCCCTTCACCATGCTGTAAGTATCAGCACTTGGTGTTTTCCTCCCATCATGTTGGTAAGAGAGGAGCGGGCAGCAGAGGACGAGTTTCCTGGCTGCCATTGCAGGTGCTAAGCAGATCAACTTTGCTATTTTATACTTGAAAAAGGATGCGTTGATCTTTCTTGGTGTGGTTGCTTTTGAGGTCATTAGCAGCAATGGTTGAGGGAAGCCTTGCTGTAGAACTACTCCCTCCGAGGCTATAGGGACAAATGGTGTCAGGGACATGGGTGAAAGCACCGGTTCTTTTCTGATAATAATTCTGTTTCCACTCATTCCACTATAAATTGAGAGTCTGCTGCTTAGTGAGGTTGTGCTTTTGTAAAGCCCGTGTTGGCAGAAATTCAAGGCTGTGTTTTCTTTCCCCGACCACTGGCTTACTGCTGATAAGGCCAAACGGCTGTGGTGGTTTGGGGTGCCCCAACCACATGATCAAAGCAGCCTTTCTATTGAGATTTGCAGTTGGTTTCCCATCCAACAACCCAAAAGACTCAGTAACTTTTGAGGCTCCATGAGTTGAAGCCAGACTGGTATGTGGGCCTTTGCATAACCAAGATTTTCTAAGGAAAAGAAGGAGCAGCATTGCAGGACATACAAGGATACATTGTCAAAAGCAGCAGCAGGGCTAAAAACCTTAATTTTCATGTGCACTGAGTTAGGTAAGAGTCACGCTCTCTTCATGTATTAAGCGGTGGTATAAATCCATGAAATAAAAGTCTGCAGTTTTTGTAGTACCCTTTAAAATAAATGATCGAAATCAGGGCTAGGAGTTTATCAGCTTAACGTTTTATGGGTGAAAGGAAGGAAGGTGGGTGGGAATTCCCACTATGGGTGGGACTGTGTTACTTTTTCCCATCCTGGAGCCAAACGGTGACTATGGATCCTATGGATTTCATGAAGGTTCAGTGTCCCTGAGGGTCTGTTTGGGACCTAGCTCTGAGTGTTATCTGTCCAGTACAAGTTCAGTTGGTTAATACCATTATGAAAAAGGCCTCCTATCTTTTAAGCCATGTATGTTTTATCATCATCTGTAATTATCTTCCTTTGGGTTCATGGTGGTGGGTGTTTTTTTGTTTTGTAGTGGGGCAGGGTGTGAAGACATTTGTTTTGAGGAGATACGCGAAGGTAAAAGTTCTGTTTTGTTTTTTGAAGACCCCCATCTGTAAATTGGTAGATCTGGTTCTGACAGCCTCATGTCTGGGAGATAAGAGCCCAGAAGGCAGCAGAGTTTAGGGATGTCATCCCTTGTGTTGCAGTCGTGCCTGGAAGCTTGTGCTGTGTTTGCGCTCCCGCTAGTGTCTCAATCTTAAAATCATCCTCCTTGGAAGAACCTGCAGTACAAATAGCCAAGACTGAAAATAAACAGAAGAAAATTCAAGGGAATTGGCCTCTTGGTCAGTATAAACTGAAATCATCACACAGGACCCCGGTGTGTGTCATATTAGGAGACTTGAGCTGGAAGAACCAAAGCTCCTTAAATCTGTAGCTTAATCCAAACCCATGTGTTTTTTTTTTTTTTCCCCTCTTAGGTAGCTTTGAGTTGCCCTGCATGTACTTTGCTGTGTTCGGTGGCCAAAGAATCACGTAAGATGTTGACATGTGCAGGATCAGGTAACTGACACGAAGAGCTGGAGGAAGTGAAGAACTGTGACAAAATACATGAAAGAATTGATTCTGCAAATCTCCTGCTTAATTTAGCAACTGGGACAGCCTGGGGCCAGCGAGTCAGTGCGTTTCACAAATGTGCTCAGACAGCCTTTTGGTATACAGCATCATATTTATGTCTGCAGGGGTAGGTTTGCTGAATGACAGTGGTCCAACTAAGATTACCTTTTAGAATAGTGGGACACTACGGTTACCTGAATTATGGGGGATGAAAGAGAAAACTATTGGGTTATAGACGACCTATAAATTTGGAAACTTCATGTAAAACAGGAAGGTAATGGATTTGCTTGTGTTCCTCACGTAACAACAGCACGTTGCTGAGACCTAGATTTGGAGGAGCAGCACTGAGACCTGAGTCAAGGTGGGATCTTGGCAACAAGAGCTTTAAAAACACCCGTGGTTGGATGGAGGAGAAACCTAGCAGCAAGCTGCAGC